GTTGTATTATGGAAGATCTAGATATGTTAAACTCGAAAACCAATTGAAAAGGTAACCAAAAATCTTTAATTATGATACATATATTTGGTTTTTGTTCCTTAGCAAACCAAGGATGATGATAGTTCACTTTAGGCGAGTTCTACTGTTGATAAACGAACCTGCGTCAGAGGGAGCGGGTTGAGAGTCACACATCACCACTGCTCTGACACACTTTTATAAACAAATTATTTAGTTTGTTTACCCGCCCCCGCAACAAAAGGCCGCGTCTGTCGGTTAAAAATTCCACTCACACAATGGCCGAATGGGAGGGTAACGAAGAGGGAACACCCAAAAGGAACAAATAATGCCGTTTACTCCGGCACTTGGCACTTAGCGCATTGCACTTTGCTGGAATTCGCTTAGGTTTGCTTGAATTTTGGCTGTTTGCTGTTCGCACTGTCACCGCGTTTTGCAGTTTCCTCTTATTTTACACGGGTTTTCGCCTTAGTTCGTGACTCATGAAAAGGAGCATGAAAAGGGCACCAAATGCACTGTGAGAGAGCGGGAGAGGACGCGTGTCATGTCAGAGAGAGCATCTGCGGTTGCGGCGGCGGGTGCGAAAGAGACAGCGAGTGGAAACGGGGAAAAGGACGCAAAAGAGAGAGGGTGGGTAGTGTGTTTGTGTGTGTAAGTGCAGCAAACGTTTTTTCATCCTCTTCCTCTCCGTTTTTTGTTGTGGCTGTGGCTGCTTCCACTATTTTCCTGGTGTTTCTTTTTGGTTTAGCTTTCCGCTCCTGCTCTATGCTAATTTTCACTATTCACTGTTATATACACAATATTTTCCACTATTTTTCTCGCTCGCAGCGCTTTTCATTTGCCATTGCACTGTTTTTCTTGCATCACGCAACGCAAAAGCTTATAGCAATAATTTATGGCAATTTCGTTTGCAGTTTGAATGAACTGCACTTTTTCGCGTTTCTGGTTACACACACTTTACATGGCTGTCGTTGTTGTTGCTGCTGCTGTCGCTCTGGTTGTTGCACTTCTTGAAAACCGTTACACTTGTGCAATTCACCCAAAAACAAAAGAACAGCAGCAGAGAAAGAAGCGGCAGATTTAATGACCCGTCTACACACACACGCACACACGGCCGCACTTTGGGCCGCAAGTGCAACGGGCGCGACAACAACAAACGGTTCACGTGCTCTCGGAGCGCAAGAAGCGGCCTACTCTTCAGGAGCTGAAACTTTGCAAGACCTTCGCCCGCCTACCCCCTCTTCATATGAACTATCCTGATTGCGATTCAAATGAGTCTTTTCCGCCAAAAACCCAAAAGAGAAGAACTTCACGGACCGCCACAAACTTGAACCTTCCGATTTCCCGAACTGCAGCAGTATGACCACTGAGTTACCTTTAAATTATACCGACCGGCTCTAAAAATGTGTACTTTTAATACCATTTTTTTCTATAAGACGTTTTATAAACGGTCATGCTGAAATGTCTGGATGGTGCATCCGCTGTCAGGTGGGTGTATTCGATAAGCGCCACTGTTAACAAAAATGTGACCAGCCGTCGCTTACTGAGGTGAGCGACCTCAAGAATGTCGATTAATTCAAATTCAAAATTTGGCGTTGCTGAATAAGTAGATTACATTCTGCTTTAGGGAGTGCAAGAATTATGGTTCAGCGTTTTATAGAAACCTTACTATGTGAATCCAAAGATGAAACTTTGTGTTTTCGTTTATAAAAATACGAAATATTAATATTTGAGTGATGATTTTACAATATAAAATAAAAAGAGTATTTATTTAGTCGAAAGTATAATGATTTTTCGTCACCAAATTTGATATCAATAGTTTTTATGTTGAAAAATTATATACAAAATTATAACATGTTTAAATTTTTGGTTGATTTAATCGTCACTTTTGGGGTTCCTTACCCCAGTGTGCGTCGTTTTCTTGGAAGACGCCTGCCAAGGTTGCCAGAAACTGCCCAGAAACGTAGCTTTTTAATGACAAATTTATTTATTTAAGGACTTCACAATTCCAATGTCATAAAAGGTATTGAAATGAATGGTCATGAATATTTTTTACTGTTGCTATATACGAATTGGTGTAAAGGATATATGCATCCAAAATTTATTTTAAATTTTTATAATACAAATTAAAGAGTTACTCTTGATTAAAATTTTGTTATTACATATACAGTGGATCCCATTAATATTCGGTTTTTTTTTTCAACTTCAAACGCGAATAAAATGTTGAAATCAAACAATACCAAACAATCTTAAAATAAAAAATTAAAGCTTTTTTTATTACCAATTCATTGAGGTACATATCTTATGGTTATATTAAAAAATACAAATAAAAACATACATAAACAAAAAAAACTCAACATTTTGCGTTACTTTAATATTCGGTTTTTTCTTTAAAGCTACAAAAAACTTTTTTATTCTTAGAAATAACACCTAATTTAATATTTGGTATGATAGCCATTATTTCGTATTTCATTCAGTCGTTTTGGCATACTGGCTATAATTTTTTTGGGTGTATTCCGGCCCAATTTTAGCCCACTTTTCCTGAAGCCGTTCTTTTAAGGCCGATATGGACGATATAGGCGTTTTGTGAACACGGCGGTCCAACTCACTCCACAGATTCTCAATTGGATTGAGATCAGGTGATTGGGGAGGCGTTTCCAAGACTTTTGGGCAGTTGTACAACAACCAGGACCTTACTTTATAGCCCTTGTGTTTCGGGTCGTTGTCCTGATACAACTTAAAGGTGTTTCGTATGCCCATTTTCTCTGCAGACTGCTTAAAATTTTCTTTTAAAATTTTAAGGTACTTGTCCTGGTTCATTATACCATCTATAAAGACTAGATTTCCCACTCCTTTTGAAGAAATGCATCCCCAAATCATAACACTTCTTCCACCGTGTTTTACTGTTGGTCTTAAGTGTTGTTTCTGGAGCTCGGTATTGGGTTTCCTCCAAACCATAGTTTTGCCATCACTGCCGAAAAGGTTAAACTTGCTCTCGTCCAAGAAAATGACATCGTTCCACCAGCTTTGGTCCTTTTTGGCGTACTCCTTGGCGAAATTTTTCCTCAGTTTCCGGTTGCGCTCAGACAGCAAAGGCTTCTTTCGAGCGACTCTGCCGTTGTACCCTTGTTTTTTTATGGTACGATGAACGGTTTGCGCTGAAACGGTCTTTCCATGGTCGGCAAAGAGTTCGGCCTTCAATTCGGGTGCACTTAGTCGAGGATTTTTCTTAACCTTTCGGACTATTTCCGCTTCTTCGCGATCAGTCAATTTTTTGGGTTGTCCTTTTTTCTTTATATACTCCACTCTTCCCTCATTTTTGAATCTGCGGACGATGTCACCGACCGTATCATTTCCAGGAAGTCGGCAGTTTCCTTGTAAGTTTTGCCCTCTAGATGCAACTGGAGGACAAGTTTTCGCTGCTCCAAGGACGAATTCTTGCTTTTGCGGCCCATTTTAAATTCGTGGCTAAAACTTAATGTTTGCGGCTTGTTTGGTGTCAACTATTGTCGGTCAGATGTTGGCTTTTCGGGGAAACACACTAACTGCGCCAATTTTTGGCCATTTGGAGTTGCCACAGGGCTTTTTTATACGACTTTCGAAAAATACCGAATATTAAAGTAACGCAAATATAGAGCTTTTTTTTGGTTTATGTATGTTTTTTCAAAAAAAAGTATTAAAATGTATATCTATGGAAAGGTAACATTAAAAACTTGAATATACCAAAAAAAAAAACCAAATTTCCCTCCTAAGTCTTATACATTTTATTCGCGTTTGAAGTTAAAAAAAAAAACCGAATATTAATGTGATCCACTGTTTGTATAATGATATTGAGATCAATGTTCATCGATGCCAGCTCGCTTCCATATAAAATGATTGTTCTCGGTTCTTGCAACTCGTATTTTACATATGTTTTGCATACGGAACTAGTGATGGGCAAAAGTGGGGTCTTTATATGTATATTTAATTAATAAATTAGTTTAAAAGTCGTTTTATTGGTAGATCGCCAATTCGTGTGGTCAAACGCGGCCACAAAGACGCTGTTTGACCTAAGGGAGGAAATCATTGACGGATTCCATACGTCCGAAAGGATTCTTCGGATGGTATGTAAAAGTAAGCAACAACGCTTTCTTTTTGAATTTCGTTTATTTTAAACAATTGCTTGGTCTCCATACTAAGGTCAAAACAAAAAACAGCTGACTAACTAAAGGTATTTACTGCTATTTTATTTTAAGGTGTATCACTAAAATTTAGATAGATGTTCAAAATCATTATTTCGTTAACCATGCTCGGATTGTTCCCAATGGTGAACCTTTTCTGGATCAGAAAATTTTTGGCTTTCGGGAATGGCCAGAACTTTTCAAGAAAGCTTATGCAGGGTCAGTTTGAGATTAACTGACTTCCCTCCATGTAAAAATATAGAGCTGGCTTGTATCTTGCACTTTATGTTCATGTGTCGTTTAATTTAAGTATCAACTTTGATTTGTTTATTCTTCATCGGCTTCAAGGCCAGCATCATACGCCTCCCCAATGATTCGAATCACCCTAAAATGTTTCGAACCAAACCGAGATGTTTCGATGCAATGGTTTTAAAAAAATAAAAGTTAGGAAGAAAAAGGTGTTGTTTGCTCATAGACTTAAAACTGAGCACCTAAACTGTTCGTACGCTCTTCAGAGCCACGGTGAGTAGAACCAGCTTGAACTCCTCTTTATAGAGGTTTAGTTAGCGAGCGTAGAACATCCTAACGTTCTTCTTGACACATTCGTTTAAACTTTAAAGCATTGCAAGACAGGTACATGTTTTCGTGTCCAAGGTCGTTTTAAAGAAGAACTATCATTATCAAGAAGAAAATGTCGGCAGCAAGGCAAGATCGTTGGTTCTGTGATGTCCATCTTCATGTTGGACTTCTGCTGGCGATCACATTAAATCAATTATAAAACAATCAATAAATAGATGTTAAAAGGGTGTATTACATCTTGTCGTTTTAAGGAAAACATTACAAATTTTATACACCACAACTTTGTATAATAAACATTTATACCATTCCATTATAATTTGTATGTCCAAAGCATTGCCTTGGCCACCTCTTTGGCAACTTCAACTCCAGCCAGCTCCTGGGTAATCTTTAAAGCGAAGTCGAAGGAAGTGCCAGGACCACGACTTGTAATAATATTTTTATCCTGAACCACCGACACGTCGTCTATATAGCTAAGTAAAAAAAATGCCGGGCAATTACGATGTGCAACAGTATAAGGATTTTAAAAATGTAAGGATGTGCAGTAGAAATTGCTTATGTCCTTATTATTCATTCTGAACGTCCTAAACATTTAATGGATTCATATTGCTCATTTACTTGCAAATTTACATGAACTAGTTAATTATGCAAAATGTTATTTGGTTTATTATTTATACTGTGTAATATTTTAGGTTTCAGTAACTCAGCAATTCCTACACACAAAAAATCCATTGGTAAAATTTACCAACATAATAGTAAAGCGATTCCCAACCATCGAATCGTCAAGATTACCAATCAGTTACTCTTACGTAATACGCGTAAAAACGTAAAAAAATTATGTAACTATAAAAAAGGGTATAATTGGCATGTATACCTATAAAACTCATTTAATTATTAATTAAATTCATAGATTCGCCACTGTAGCATGGTAATTTCTAAGCATAAATACAAAAGGTAATTTCAAATTGCACTTTGAAATTTGCACAGAGACTTCCAGCTAATGTGGAAGTATGTTGAAGACTTTAGAAAATATATGTTTAAAGAACAATTTTGTATAGTTACTAAACTGTCTGCGTTAGTCAATTTTACCAACCAAATTTCTGTGTGTGTAAAAATGGAGTTTTATGCTATATCTGATAAAGAGCTGACCAGAGTTAAACAATTCAAATAATTAACAGTTTGGGTAATACCCTAGCTATCTCTCTTCTAGTACATGAACGATATTTATACACTATACACTTATAAAATGAAAGAGTGAAAAGAAAGAATTGAAAGTAGAGATGGTATGATTTCTCAGATTTTAGGGAGATGGTATATACACTTGTTACTTAAGGGACTTACCAGTAATGTTTCTCCAGTTGCGGCTTCATATCTGGGTGCGATGTAATAGATTTCCCTTTTCCGATTCCGTGCTTGGCCAGCGCAGTGGGAGCCGCGCAAATGGCAGCAATCAATCCGCCTCTTGAGTCCTGACAACGCAGTAATTCACCAACGGCAGTTGAGTTCATCAACGCCTTGTTTCCAGCTAATCCGCCAGGCAGGACCACCACATCGTAGTTTCCTTGGGACAGGGCCTGTTCCAGGGAAGTGTCCGGCACGATGACAACAGACCGAGAGCACTTGACCGGCTCACAGTTCAACCCCGCTACGGTGACATTAATCTTACCAAACAAAAATCACAAAAAGTTTTTTTTAGAAAATATGTTGTAAAAGGAGGAAAGAAAGTAGTAGAGCAAAAAAGATTATTTGTATTCGTTGGAAAGTAAGTAAAAGGTAAAAAGAAGCGTTTTCTACCCCATACAAATTAATACTCTTGATCAGAATTAGCCGTGTCCATATGTCCGTGCTAACGCTGTGATCTCGAAGGTTTTTAAACTCCTTATTCACCACAAGTTTATTATCCCACTGTGCCACGTCCACTCTAGCCCCCTGCTACTCCAGCGCCAAAAGATTGTGGTGCCCACATTTTTGAAAGTTTTTCCCGAGTACAATCTTTTTTATAATTCTTTATTTCATAGCTGTCTGATAACAATATTTATTAGATCTTGTATTTTTTGTGATTTTGTATTTCCGATCCAATTTTTTCTTAGGCAATACTCTTTATTATTTCGATGATTACAGTAAAAACGACATATTTAAATTAATTTTGTATACCCGTTACTAGTAGAGTAAAATGGTATATTGTATTTGGAGAAAAGTGTGTACCAGGTAAAAGGAAGCGTCTCCCATAAAGTATTTATATTCTTGATCAGGATTACTATCCTAATCAATCTAGCCCTGTCTGTCTGTCCGTGTGAACGCTCTGTCTCGGAAACTATAAGAGCTAGAGGTTAAGATTTCAGATAAGATTCCGTATCTCAAAATCCGCTCAAAACGTTGGCTCCAAAAATTTTAAAGCTAGATAAACGTTAACTGAAATGTAAATCTCTCGTAAATGCCTATCGATTATCCTAAAATGTCCTTCAAAAAATCGTCCATATGAACACTGATATATCGGAAACTATCAAAGCTACAGCGTTCGGTTTTCAGACTTAGATTCCTTTACTTCGTGCGCAGCGAAAGTTTGTTACGCGGCCAATAGCCGTCCCAAATTAGTAAGTTTCCACTATGAGGGAAAGCTGTAGTCAAGTGACTTGACGTTACTTTGCTGAACGATCAAAATGAATACGTTTTCTAAGTATTAAGGCGACTGCTATCTATTTACTGGCAGTGATATCCCTGCCACGTTAAGCCATGCAACACTTTTAAAAAGAAATAAGTCATAACTCTTGAAAGAAGGCACAGAAAATTCTTTGGTAAAAATTTGGGTTGATGTTGTATTGATATTAACATAGTCCTGCAGTACCATTCACCGCTTTTTAGGCAATGAGTCACTGCAAAAAGATCATCACTATTAAGCTAGGCATGTCCTACCATTCATCACTGCACAAAAACTGGCACAACTTCATCACCTTATAGCCGCCTTTTTTAGTACCAAAAAGGCGATTTACAGCCGTTGCGTTCGGCTCATTTGGCGTCGCAGTCGACTGCGTGATGATGTTGTGCCCCGAATGGTGGTGATGTTTGTGAACTTAAAAATGGGCGTGAATATATGTATGTTTGGTCAATCGATAGATATTGGAGAAAAAATACATTAAGTTACAATTGTGATACTAGCATCCGAACTGTAAACGTTTTTGATGCTGTGCTGTTTGTAGGTGTGGTACACCGGGATAACAAACTTGCGATGGGCCACTAGAGTCCGTATGCTTAATCCCAGCGTTCACACAGACAAATGGAAAGGCAGACATGTCCTGAGACTAGTGCTCCTGATGGCAGTATATACTTTGTAGGGTCAGAAACGCTCCCTTCTAACTATTACACGCTGTTCAACGAATGCAATACTCTACGAGTAACAAGTATAAAAATCTGCAAAAATGACTAGATTTACCTGTTGGCAAATGTGATAACTATGTACCTAAGTCTTAAAGGGTCGGAAATGCTTTCTATAATAACGTAGATGGCCATCCGTGGTAAATATATTTACTGAAACCACTAGGAATTGATTCATTTCAAGCAGTTTCTTTGATTTACAGGTTGATATACTAGAAGACTTACTTTTCCTCGTCGTAGGACATCTGCGGATATTGTAAACTCCATTTCCTCGGCACCAGGGGCCAGGATGATCAGTGCGCTCTTGGCTTCCTGAGTGGCTTTGTATCTGGCCACGAAATTGGCGTGCGGATACAGTCGCACCTTCCCGAAAGATCTTCTAAGAACAGACAACATGCTAGCCCCTTTCTCAAAAAGTAAGTCGAATTTTTAGTTAAATATATTTTATTGAACAAAAATGAATTGTGTATGCTGTTTTCTTATTTTAAACGCAAACTGAAATTGTTTTTGTTTTGTAAGGGATGGGTTGATTTTGTGTGTTTAGAAATCAGATTTAAAACAAAGCCGCAAAACTTGATAAAAATAATTGTAATTTGTTTTAAAACCTAAAGATTTTGTTAAATATAATTGTGTTCTTTTTAACTTAATTGAGTTTGTTGATTTTTGTTTAATGGTATTTTGTATTGAAGCGCTTATAACTAATTGTTTGACAGCTTGACATAATTCTATCGAAAAGATCATAAACTTTCAATAAATTGCAAATGTCACAAACTCTTAATTTGGTTTTGTCTTGTTACATACATAATTTTGTGGAAAAATGTCGTTTACGTCGTATTTTAAGTCACATTAAAAACTGGTTTGATTTGTATTCGTCATTAAACTTGATTTTTTGTTTTCTAATAACATTTAAAAAGATCACCAAAGTTACAGATTTCCCATATTACGTTGCTCACGTTGCTTATTTTTCTTTATCATTATGTTGATGTATTTTGTTTACTCCGCTTAGATTAGAACTAATAATATGTATTTTATTGATTAATTACCCGGCATTTTGGTTGATTTTTTAAAGTAAGGGATGTACCAGATTATCTCTTTAATCTTAACGCACGAATAAGTGTTATTATCATATTGATTTTGCTAGTCGAATTTCAGCTAAGGGTTATCTGATTTGATTCGTAATTGGAACACTACGTCGAGAGTGTTGAGTGTGTAGCTATGGGGATCGCGCGAGTGGTCTGGGCTTAAGTGGGACTCTGGGACCATTTGGAAGAGTATAGAATACACACATATCATAAGTTAGTTAGTCAAATATAACGTTTAATTGCTTGGAGTTAGACCGTCACTTCTTGAAATCTCGTTAATTGTGGCATATAATTTAATCGATTTAGATTTGTATTTTTATTTCCTTTAGGAAGAGTTGTGCAAGTTTCTGTTCTAGCTTCGATTTCGATCTGATTATATATCTAGGTATATATCTATATTTGTTGTATATAATTGTAGACATCTATAAACGGCACATTTATAAGTAATATGTAGAAACAATGCGTCCCAATTCTATTTCTTAATCATCCGCTTTCCTCTTCATTTTCTCGTTTTTTCATTTTTTTTTTCGATTTATCTTTAGTTTAAAGCTCAATTGAATTTTGACAGATAAAAATGTGAACATCCCGGATATTTGTAATTACTTTGGGCCTTAACTCTGAGCAGAACATAGGTTGGAAATGATATCTAAGGCGTTTTACGGTCTCCAACCTTCTAAACATTTTTTAGCTGCACGACACTGAAGAAACCATTGAAATTGTAGCGTGTGTGAGTTTCTGGGGGAAAATCGGAGTTCTCCAGTTTACGATATATACCTATATTTACGCGTGTATATAGGGACAATTCTTACAGCCCATTTTCTTGGATGGGAGATAGCAGCTTGTTATTGGCATTTTAATTAAGTGATTAAGGGGTATTCCATCAGTATTACGATTTTTCTTTGCGAGTAGTTAAAGCTTTGGACTTTTCTCATGTATTGTGTTGGTAAAGTAAATTATTGTTAAATATTTTGCTCATTTTAAAACTACGAGATGCATTCATTGTCGGCACACATTTCAGCTTCAGCTTAAACTAATTGAATATATAATGTAAATGTTGGTACTGTCTGGGCGATCTCAATTCGACCCCCAAATCGCGAACTCCTTTGCATTGTTTCGTTTTCGATATTGCTTATAACTAAAATTGGTTTTTGTTTTGCTTCGGGTTTCATTAAGTATTAAGAAATAAATTTAAAATTTTAATCCCTTGTGTAGAAACGTTATTACAAAAAACAAATGGAAAATGAATAATTACAATTTAAGAAGTCAACAAATACACCCACCCTTTGATTGCACAGCCCCACAAAATGTTAATCGCTTCTAAATTCAGCACTAAAATAGGGAATAAATATCAGATGTCCGTAAAGACCCTAGCTTGAAAAGCTAGATGAACATGAAGCACTGTTCCTAGTTAAAATCAAAAACCAAGCATAATTTAAATTAGTGTAAAAACCTCATAAACACCTTACTTTATAAATGATTTGTCTGGTGCATTAATTTAAACAGGCATTAAAAAAACAGATTGGTTTTTGTAAAAATAATTTTATCTGTATTTCTTTTTTGGATTGAGAACTAATTGGAAAGATCATTGTAGTTCCTAATATTTTGTACCAATCCTTTGAGTATAACCTATCTTAGCTTGCACTCGAGAATATGGCCCTTAAGTAACTGTAGTGACGAATTACTGAAATCTCAAGTGACTTAAAATCATTTGTAGTTTCCTTTTATATGAAATTAAGCCCAATGAGATTTCTAAGAGTTTGATTCAACATTTTGACGGACTGCGACAATCCCTCCTTTTTTTTCTTTTTATGTATTTTTTTTAGGAATACCAACTAATTTGTAAGTGCGGTAAATGATTAAAACTAAGCATATAGATTTATATATTATGTATTTTATAATGCTCACATAATGTATACGATTGGCAAAACAACTTGCAAACTTGGAAACTAGGTCTAAATTAAAGGATCTGTAAAGGATGTACACAATTATAAATAAGGTTCGGCCCGGAAGATTCGAAGGAAATCTTGCTCTCCCGCACCGCATAAATAACAACTCATCATAATGTTAACTTGAACTGTGTCCTCGATATAGTACAATTACTAAGCATAGGTCTCATATTGATATTGTTTGTTTGTTGTTGCTTGTTGATTTTGGCGAAACTAAAACTACTTTGTAAAATATTGAAATGTAGTTGCCACCTCTCTCCGGGGGACGGTGGAGAAGAGTTACCTTGTTTATATTACCCGTACACCACTTTGCTCTAAAGTTAATTAATTCGAAATTACAATTAAAAGCAGGCCTGTTCGCGATCTGTTTGCCCATTCGAAGAATCAACATGAAGAAATCAACAAATTTCGTTACGCTTTTAAAAAAATATAAGGTACAACTAAATATCGTTAGGCTAAGGGTGGGAGATACATAAATAAGAGGACATTGAGTGATATGCTTTGGACTCGGGGAGGGGAGAAGTTTGGAGTCTGATTGTGTGTGCTTACAAGGGGATGAACTAAACACTAACATAAAATATCAGCACTGCAAACGTATCTGCTACCGTGTTATTTGCACTTTTGAATTTAAGTATTCTATATTGTTACAGTTCCATTCCGCTTTTTTCTTGCTTTGTAAAAACTTTAAACGTTAGTTCTAGGCTTAGGTATGTATATATTAGGCTCCGCTTTATAAGTATAGCTATTGTTTTGACCAAAAGTTTGTCCCTTGTTGAAATTGCATTTCTCGTTATTCCGCCGCGCTCTCATTGTCCATACATCTGATCTGGCATACTCTGTTTTTTTGGTAGAGCCCAACTTACAAACTATTAAATGTTCTTGCTTGGTTTAATCTGCGCCCTAGTTATTGAAGTATTTCATTAGTACATGCTAAGTTGTGTCTACACTCTTTCAATGCTTGTCGCTTTAATGTCGTTTGTGGTTTTTGTTTATAATTTGGTGGTGGTCTTCGTTCACAGTACAGAGAATCCGAGTGGTTGGTGTTCTTGTGGTGTTTGCTGTGTGAGTCGATCAGCAACGTATTCATTTTGTATACTAAAAACCTTTGGTTGTATGCATTCATTCATATTCATTCATCATGTCTTCATTTCGTATCGTGTAAAAATATATTGTACAATTTAATCGTAATTTCTATTACAAAAGTTGTCTCTCTCTCGTGTGATGACTCTTTTAAATTTTTGTGTTCTGGTGTTGGTTGGTGTTGCTGCCGTAGTTTTTGTTCCCTTTAGTTGATTTCCTATATTCTTTCAATTTGTTTGCTACGCTTGTTCTTGAGAAATCTCACATTTCGCTCTCCACCTCTTGTATTTTCCTTCGGTTGCGCAAACTTGTGCCTGACATTCGATTGCCTATTCCTATAATTTCTCACTTCGTGGCTATCTGCTTTGTGTGTGGATGAGTAAGTGGTGTTAGTAATTGTGTCTTTGTGGGATTTTCTTCTGCTTACTAAATAACATGCAAGATCTTCGTATTCTCGTTGGTTTTCTCTGATCGCGTTCTCTCAAAGTAAAATGTAACTTTAAACTAAATACTAAACTTCTAGCCTTGGCTTTCATCCGCTTTCTGATCGGGGGGAGGAAGGGGGAGTAGTTTATTCGAATCGAATTTCGAAACTGATTTTGTATTCCTTAGCTTTTTGGTGTTGGTAAATGGGGACGATACTTTTTAGGCAAAGTACATAACCTTCTTGGTGTCCGCGTGCACAGTGATGGCCCTGGCCATGGCGCCCGGCGTGCGATCCTCCGAACAGCCGCTCTGGTGCGAGCCCTCGCCCGAATCGTGCTCCTTCTCCACCAGATGGTACCTGCAAAACAAGAACACATGTAAGCACAAGCAATCCGGTATGCGGTCTTACGGCTTACCTGGCACGGAAGGCCACTAGATGGGCATAGTAGGCCGGCGCCGGTATACTGACGGAACGGGTGCAGCGGACGTACGTGTGGCACAGCTGGTACGTCAGGCACTGCAGCTCGTCCGAGTCAAAGTGATTGTCGTCCCACAGAACGTGGTAATGCGAGGGGCGACTGGTGCCCTGGATGCCCTGATGGCTGCACAGATAGAAATCGAATTCGGTGGGATGTGTGATGCCCACATCGACGGTGGTGCCTGCGGGAATATTGCCCGATTTGCCGCTCTGCTCCTTTTTCTCGGCGCAGAAGAGACGCGTGTGATGGCGCTTCTGGACCACGATGAACGTGATGCCCGGTCGGTACTCTGGTTCAAGCTTAATGCAAGCCTCCCGGATGGCGGTCAACTCGTGCTGCAAAACATGAGGGAACTGGCCCTCGGAGACACCGTCGCGGTATAGTATGATGCGGTGGGGCTTGTAGCCGCCCGTCGACTTGTAGAACATGATTAGCAGTTCGCGCACCATGCTGCTCAGCTCCTGGATGATCTCCTGGCGGTGCTGCTGCACCCGAACGGTGGCTGCGTAGCGCGATGGATGGGCATCCATGGACCCCACGACGGCTGCAATCGATGGTTTCTTGTTGTCGCCAGCTGGTGGGTGGGTCACATCAGCACCCAAAAATATAACCGGCTCGTTAAAGACCTTTGGTCGGATGGACGGCACCAGGATCGAATTAATGCCACCCAACTTGACGTTGATCTTAAGACACAGGTTAGACAGCGTCTGCGGCGATGTCTTGTTCACGTTCTTGGCCTGCACACACTGGGTGGCCATGCCGAGCACTGTGTCGCCCACGCGCTTTACTTCGGCATACACCGGTGTCTTGCCCGGCAAGACCACCACGACGAGCTGCAGTCCCGGAAATGTGATCTTCAGGTAGCGGAACATTGGCTCCACCTGATCCGGCCCAGTGGCATACTTGCAGAAGCACGGCTGGCCAATGATCGGCATGCCGGCATCGTTTGAGATCTTCTGCAGCTGCTGGGTGAAGTTCCGCAGTGCATCCTCGCGCACAGTTCGCTGTGGGGCAAAACAGGCGATGGCCCAGATCCGGATCTCCACGCCAGTGAAGAACTGCTTGCCGCGCATATCCCATACGCCCTGGTTGGGCGAGGCCAAGCTCACCTTGTTCTGCGGCGGGAACAACTGCTGACCGGTTAGTCCGGTGGACACACGTCCCCCATACTGAAGCTTGGGCGGCGGAAGAACGCGTCCTCGCACTTCCATCATCGAATTGGAAATGGTCAGGCCGAACTCCTGCACGTATGAATCGTTGTTGAAGTCGGCGCGTTTCACCAAATTGTTGATCTCACGCTCGCGATCCGGAGCAGAACGGGCGGTGGCCTTGATCATGGTCGAGGTCTGCATGTCGGTGAGCTTCTTTATGCACCGCTGTCCAGCCACAATGTTGCACACTTCCAGAGGGAGGTACGTATGCTTGTGCTCCTGACCCACCTGCAGGCA